CTCTCTCCCCACACACACACGCACACACTCACGTATGATATATTGCTGAGCATAAGATGTGTTATTTTAGGTTATTGCCCATCCAGAGCTGCTGCATCCAAGCTCCGATCAGAGACTGTATACATAGATTTCATGCGACAATGGAACATTGGAGTTTATTTTTCACTCAGGTGTTTTTTCAGCCTCTGAACTGATGCTTCATTTGAACAGGAAACTGTGTTTTATTTTAAAAGGTCTCTTAAAGTAGGCATGAGCTAACCAATGGTTCCATTATATTAGATTTCAGGAAATTGCCGGTTCCCTGGATTCTGCTCTTATGGCTTCCACTATTACTCGTGTTGATAACAAGCAGGGGAAATTCTCAAAATTAACATTAAAACAAAGCATTGCACTTCTAGACAGCTTGCGATCTTGCTGGAGTGAGGATGTTCTTGTTATTTCCTGCTCTGATAAATTCCTACGTTTATCATTGCAGCTCCTTTCAAGGTCATCTTTCCCGGTTCCAACTTGATGTCTCTCATCTTTTCAGCATTTATAAAAGTCCGGCTTTCACATGCTTATTTTCATGTATCAAACTATGAACATATGAATAAACAGCCCATGCACACTCAAATATCTCATGTACTTTATTTTCCATGCATCAGGTTCTCAACTTGGCTGTCTTCTGGTCTGGTTGCTCGCAAAGGGGACAGTGCACACTCAAGCACTACTCATAACTCTGAATGGGCTAGCACTGCGCGTATAGAGGATCTTATATATGTATGGTTCTTTTATAGGAAGAAACTCATAACTCTGTCTGGGTGTGTAGATGCATGTGTGGAAATGTGATTTGCTTATAGAAAGAAACTTATAGAAATTGCGGAGGCAAACAAATTTGTACTGTCCAAGATGTCCTGCTGAGTGCTGCCTTTTTAGCTTCCCTATGAGGCAAAAAGAGGATTTAAAGTCATTAACTTCATGTTAATTTTTCAATTAAAATTTTCCTATCAATAACTTCATGTTAAAATTTGTCATTATATCAATTGAATAGACTGAAAATTGAGTCTTGCATATTCTAGTGCATCAAAAGGAATCTTATGTTTATGTTCTTCCTAAGTAGTGCCTGATTGAGTGTATGGTATGTTGCATAAGAATTGTCTTCCTCTGCATGTGCCATGGCGAATATTTAACTCTCTTTTCTTGAATGCCAGCAAAATAGTCATACATGCTAGACATGTATATAATCACTTATTTTAACTGATAATGTGAATGCTTGTTTAGTGTATTTCCCCAGCAGGTTTTTGTTTCTGGCATTTATATCTGAAGCTTTCCTACGACTTTTGATTTGCAGGTAATGCATGATGTACGATCTCTGGTTATGGAGATTACAGGTGATTACCTGGGAGATGTGCTTCGAGTGCTCGAGTCTTGCTCTGCTCAAGTACTTGATCTTGTAAAACAAAGTATTTTGCATGGTAAAAAGTCTTTGGAGGAGTGTGTACCCATGATAATGGATACAATAATCGATGCCATAGTGAAGATGTCTGTTGAGGTGAGCAATATGGGAGTTATTGTTACCTGCTTTGCTAGTTGCAAAACTTTGTAGTTGTTTTGTTCTTTTTTGGTGGATTCCATTATAATGGATGTTGGATATTGGAAAGTCTCCAAATACACTGACCTCTCTCTTTCCTCTTCAAGCTTTGGCTATAAATATTTGTATGGATGTTAACTGCTATAACTAAATAAAGGACAACCACTCTCTTGTCTGGACCCAAGGTTGTCTGCCAACCATAAACCATGAAGATTTATATTTGCAATAAATGATAAATTACTAATTCTAGGGCCTTAGACTCTCAAAAGTTATTGAAAGAAAGAGAATTTTGATTGCCGATACTAGTTGTCGTGAGAATATTAGATACTGTCCATGAGAAATCACATGATTATGATGGCAGACAGATACAGGCCTTAGTTTTCCTAGTAATGTGCATCCATCTATCATTATTATATAAGTTTGATTATATAATGTTGTCCTGCTTGCATAAGAACATTATGTGAGTGTGGGAAGCTGTATTTGAGCATGTTCTTCTACATCTTATGATGTACAAAAATATTTGAGTATCATGGATAAAGAACATAAAGGTTCAGTTAACCCACAAGTACAGTTTCTTGAACAAATTGTGGTCTTTATTGAAGGCTGGTTAAGTTTCATGACTAGTCCTGACGTTTCTCAAGTGTTTTGTGTTGGTAAATACATCTGCCAATTTGTGTCTTCTTTAAAATTGGCACGCAGGATTATTATGTTCCTCTGAATACAGTCAAGTTTCATCATTTCTAAATTCCTATATAAAGTGGAGAGATTGGTGGCCTTGTGTCTGAAATGTTCTCCACACCAGAGCTTATTTGGGAAGCGTATGATGTGTATTCAGAGAGAGTTTTTTCTAAGAAAAGGTTTTAGTTTTTAGTAGCATGATGATAAAGGATGATAAAGAATTCAAGCCATGCCACATTTGGCTGTAGGCGAATATCAATACTGAGCCTCTTTTTAGAGCACTACAAAGCATGTAGTTTAGGCTTCAGTTTCACAAACTTGTTGTCATGTCTCTGTTTATTTGTCACAGTTGTAATTCTAGCTGTGGTTGTTCTTTCTGGTTGATCTGTCTAGTTTCATGTGTTTCTGCTTATAAAGTTTCAAATTAACAAGTTTAAAGAGAAGGTTTTCCCTTTTCAGGCAAGAAATGTGGGATAATATGTAATTACGTGTTTCTATGAATTGCCACTATGAGATTGTTGATTGAATTAGTAGCTTATGGCTTGGTATTACCTCTTTTTGTGTCCTTGTTATTAGGCAGTTTTATAACATTTTAATCTCTTATTGATAGTAGTTCCTCAGTTGTATTAACCCTTTTGTCAGCCTGCAAGTTATATTCTACTGTTCTGAAAGTTATGTGCTTATTTATTTTCCATAAACATATTCCTTTTGTAGGACTTGAGACAGCTTAAAGGGATCACAGCAACATACAGGATGACTAATAAACTTCCTGTTAGGCATTCACCTTATGTGTCAGGGATTCTGCGACCACTGAAGGTCCGTAAGTCACCTGACTTTTAATATTTTCATTGGTATATTTCCAGACTTCACATCATCATATGCAAATGTCGATTATATTTTTCTCAAAATAGAAAGACCAAGCAGAACATCTTTAGCTCTCTTGTAGAATATGCATTTGAAAGGTCTTGAATAAGTAGATATTACTATTCTTATTTCCCTTACATTGTATGGATTAATGGTATAAGTAATTATACATATGATAAATATCCAAAAACAACAAATTTTTTCGATGCCAAAATTTAAGCCTTGTTTTGTAAGTGCTCTCGTTTTGCGCGCACGTTTTTCCTTTTTTTGGGTGTGGGGGGTGGGGTGGGGTGTATGCATGTGTGTACGAACGCTCGAGTGCAGGTGCAGGCGGGTTCCTGTGTGGTCTCGTGTGTACATTGGTGTGCTGAGGTGTGTGCACGTTAGCTATTGGATATACACAATTTTGTTTACATACTCTCAACATAGGCTTAGATACTGCTGTGAAGACTGATGATATGATGATCATTAATGTCTCAACAAAACAAGTCCATGCTGTGGGCTTATTACTTATTGTTGTCTATAAGAGGATACTATTTCATTGATTTGGCTTACTGAGTTCATCAGTTCCACACTTCCACATACTTTTAGAGAGAATAATTCTATACCTGATCGTTTAGCTAATAAAGCATTCATTTCAGTTGTCCTAAATTTATGAATGAAGGCATAAAAAGAACAATGAACATCACCTGATGATACTACTCGATTTGTCCTAAATTAATGAAGGCCTAGAAAGAGGAATGTTCAGATTGAGAAGTTCAATATCTAATACATGAATAACATTTTTCTATCTGGTTTGCATACCTGTTTCTTTAATACAATTTCAGGAGCATCTGTGTGCATGTTTTCCATCTGTTAACAATGTTTTTGACGACGAGGATTCTTTGTGCTATAGAATTTTCTTGATGGAGAACACATTGATCTTGTGACGAAAGAAACTGTCAATCAACTGCTGTTTGGTGCTGCTGAACGGATTACCAGCCGTTATTATGAGCTAGCAGCAGATGTTGTGAATGTGGTAAGTTTAGTGGGACAGTATTTGTTAAGTTCATACCTCAACATTCTCTTCTCACATCTTGTGTTGAACTTTTCCCTGAAGGCAAGGAAAACAGAATCTTCCCTGCTCAGATTACGGCAAGGTGCACAAAGGCGGGTGGGAGGAAGCTCAGATACTGCAGACAGCAATATATCTGACACTGATAAGATATGTAGGCAGTTATTCCTTGACATTCAGGTATGTGAGCAGTTATAGTCATAACCTCCATATTTCCTACTCTAATAAGATATACAATACACAATCAGTCAGAAAATGCTGGCTGGTGCCGTTATTTCTAACTTAGAACCTTATTAGAAAGCTGGCACATTTTATGAGTTGCTGATTGGAACATTTTTTTATTTCTTGCCATTGAGAATAACTTGATGTGAAAATGTGACAGTTGCCTCACTCAGTTATCTAGTTTATTATTAGTTTTTGCTAGTTAAAGTGGATGTTTGTTTCTGTATCTTGAGGTTAGCATAAGCATTATGACTTAAAAGGGTTAAAGGAGAATTTGGAAAATGTAAGTAAGTACTTGCGAGAATTTATAGTCAGTTGTTAAGTTAAACAAGAATCTGCCATTGTGCTAACTCTTATGGGTCTTTTACACGACAGTGATACTAGAAAAATGCTGAATCCTTCAAAAGTTCAGTTTAAACAATTATGCTTCATGAAAAATAAACTTGTTTTTGCGGAAATTTCATTGACTCTTTTGCCAAACTTTGATCTCTCTTATCTAGTGCAAATGCTCCGTTTATAGATTGTTGTAGTGTTAGATAACTGTTTTCTCTTCTAAATTCAGTGTTATTATTATTATTAATTCCGTCTTATTATACTTTCTCGTTCTTACACCCCCCACCCCCCCCCCCCTTCATTTCTGTAGGAGTATGGACGCCCAATCTTGCTGCACTCGGGATTAACGCGGGGGAAATTCCAGCATATAGTTCATTTTGGCAGCTAGTGGCTCCTGAAGACCAGCAAGCACATATTGCCTTCTAATTTGATCTCACGTAAACCATTTTAAAGCCGGGGTTATTGTTTATCAATTGATTTTGTTCTCCTTTCTCATTTTCTTTATATAATAGTTCTGTGGTAGCGCATATAGAGATCTTGCTTAACTATATATAGTTGCTTATTTCGTTGTAGCCTTTTGAGTTGCGATGTAGAAAAGAACTTGCTTTGAGGTCACCTATAAAGTCTGAAGAAAGAACGATGAACATGTCGCTTAAAAAAATCAATTTAAAAAAAAAAAATCCTATGGATTGATTATGGAGATTCATAGATCGCAGTAAACAAAGTTTTTCCCGTACACGTTGACGTGGACTAACGCGATAGCATTCCTCTGTTAGTGAGAAGAATCCATTTCCTTGTTTTTTTTTTTAATCATGATGGAAGATGTTTATCTGACCTACTTTGGATAATTTGAAAATTATGTTGCTTTCGAGAGGCCCTAAGATGTATACACATTTCTAAGACCCGTACCATATTCAATAGGGTATCCAGTAATGTGGGCACTGTCTGCATCAAGATGTCTATATTTCTACACCGTTAGAAAACCGTTGTGAAGATGCGTCGCTTACAAATTTGACCCGATCATCTAATGCTATCATTTTCCCTTGTCTACTGTCTTTCCCTTTCACGGGCGGTGCTGAAAGCTCGTGTCAGCGTACGTCGTAGGTAAAAGGTAAGCGTATATATACTAGAAAGAAGGATGCAGTCCATTTTCACGTCGTCCTCTTTTGCTGTAAATTTTGGGTCCGAATGAGTAGGACACCTGTCAGAATCCCTTGTGATACGGGATTTTTGAGCCAAACACAGGGAAGTGAAAAAAAAAAGTCTAAGGGGCTGTTTGGTTGTTGTTGGTAAAGTTATGTATTTATGATACAACTTGAAAAGTTGTTGTCCACCTCATCAATTTCACTTTTATATTTTTCTTTGTTTGTTTTTATTCCATTAGAATCATAAATTGCTTGTTTGGTTTGCAAATGTAACTTTATTGTTTGTTTGGAAAGTGTAAAAAGTGGTCCCTACTCAAATGATCATATTGGTTAGAATTATTTTTTATTATTTTTTCCTAACTTCAATGTCAGCTTTCTTCTAAAATCATGACATTTTTTTATGAAATCACTTTACAAGCCACATCAGCATATGAAATCACTTTACACTATTTTCACAACTACAAACAAACAATTGAAAGTGATGAAAGCTGACATTGGGACCCATTTTTTTATACTTTACATCCTTTTACATGGTAAAAACATACAACCAAACAGCCCCTAAACTGCTCCCCAACCTGTTCCGATGCGGGATCTTTGAGCCAGACGCAGGGAAGTGATAAGTCTGAACTGCTCCCCTACTTGTTCCCTTGCTTCGCTCAGAGTTTCACTAGAAAAAGTTGGGACTAAAACTAGCCTCGTAGTACTTGATAGACTCGAGTCTTTCTTTTCCTTGTGGTTTCGTTATTGAATATTCCGTTGTATTTTTTACGGCAAAATTGTCTAGTGATAAATCAGGCGGTCGAGTTTTACATGATTGGAAGTTGGTCCAGTGGTCCCCATCTATTCTATTTTAGGGCTGTCAGATCACAATAAAAACAAACTAAGCAATGGCACTTCCCCAAGTTCTTCCGCTTCGAGCCTCATATGATCAGTTCAGACTTATCGCTTCGAGCGGGGAAGTGATAAGGCCTTGTCCACCAAACTTTTTATCCACTCATCTTGTCTCAAGATTTGTGCTGTCAAAAGATGCACAAATCTTAAAAGATTCTTCATATCTATCACGGATCCCAATGTAATATCAACGGATAAAAAAGTTGGTGGATGACTCATTCCTATCCACTTAAGTTGACATAAGCTTTTACCTATATATATATAAAAATCGTAGGTTTTAACTCATGAAATTGTGAATTGTGACCATCTCAATATTTACCAACAGGTCAAAATGGCTACAAATAGCCAAAAATCATGGGTTATATAGCCCACGAAATAGTAAATTTTGGCCCCTGAAAAATTATTTTAAAAGACAAAATATAGCAAACAATCGTGAGTTATAGCTCACAAAATCATACATTTTGGTTACCATGAAATTATTTACCAATTTATTGAAACAACTAAAATGGCCTAATTATAGCTCAAGAAATCAAGAATTTTAGCCCTCTCAAAATTACTTGCTAATGGGTTGAAATGGCCAAAATGGCCAAAAATGGTGGGTTGTAGCTTACAGAATCGTGATTTTTCACTTTTGAAAATGATTTGCCAATGGGTCAAAGTAATAAAAATGGATAAAAATCATGGGTTACTGCTCATGGAATCGTGAAATTTGGCCACTTAAAAGTTATTTGCCAGTGGGTCAAAATGATTAAAAATGGCCAAAAATCGTGAGTTATAGTTCGTAAAGTCATAAATTTTGGTCTCCTCTAAATTATTTGCTAATTGGATGAAATGATTTCGAATGGCAAAAAATCATGGATTGTAGCTCATAAAATACTAAATTTCAACCTCCACAAAATGAATGAAACAGGTAGAAATAGTCAAAAACTAATGAGTTATAAGTCATAAAATCATAAATTACTTGATAAATGGCCAAGTGAGTTATCGCTCATTAAATCATGAATTACTTAATTTGGCCTTCGCAAAATTATTTGACAACCGGCTGAAATGACTAGAAATGCCCAAATACCATCAGTTTTAGCTCATGAAATATTTCTATCCTTGGTGAAATTATCTAACCCTGGGTTGAAATATAATAAAAATGGCATAAAAAAGTAAGTTACAGTTTACAATTTTCATCCACAACATCACTCAACTCATCTCATCTCATATTTAAAAATTACTCACATCATCCAATAAGATTGTGACAACTCATCTCATTGTTAGACCCTAGAGGGGGGTGATTAGGGTCTTATGCTAATCTAATCCGATTAAATGCCAATTAAAACTAATTATGTTGATCAATATGTTCTTGCAAGAGATAGATATGAACAATAAGAACAATAAGAATATGCATAAATAAAATATGAGACAAGCAAAACACAAACACACGATATGTTCACGAGGTTCGGTCCCCACGACCTACGTCCCCGCTCCTCACCTCGAGGAGATATCCACTATCACAATCCGGTTTGGAAGCCGGAACTTCTACACACTCGGTTTACAAGTTCACCGAAAACTCTCACACTACACAATCACTCAACAATCACACTTTACACACTAAGTGTAGGAATCTAGTCCGTGTCCTCCTCCTCAAGTGCTCGATTACAACCTCTCCCTAGGTTCGTCAATCGACGCCACTCCTATTGGATTTGACCCCGTCTCTCTCTCCTCACACTTCTCTCGGTGTACAAGTGTATTACAAGTGATTCTCACAAATAGAAGTTCAATACAATAATTTGTTCTCAAATGACAAGTGAGAACACAATGAAGCTCACACTCACTAAATCACACCCCACAACCCACGATATATAATATGAGAATATTAAGCTCAATAAGTGTGTGTGACAATAGTGAATGAAACTCAATAACTATAACTCAATGAATATAGCTAATCAAATGAAAGTGAAATAATAAGCTATATAGAAAGAGTTTAGAAAAACTTCTCAATGAACAAGAGGAGCTGAAGAATATGATCCCAATGGAATATGAGAGCCTAGCCTCTTCTTGTTGTAGAAAAACTTCTCTTGAAAACTGATTAATGAAACAACTCTTAAACAGCTCTTAAACGCGATTAATATCTTGTTAAACAACAAACTTGGATTTCTTAGTTATAGAGAAGATGAGCAGCAATGGGGTATATATAGCACCCCAATACAACAGCTAAAAGTAGGCAAAAAGACCAAAAAACCCATTTGAAAAAACTAGCCGTTATACACATCTGACAACTCGGCGGTCGACCGGTCCGGTCGACCGCTTAGCTCAAAAACCTCAGAAAACAGGAGTTCAAGGCTGGCGGTCGACCGACGAGATTTTCGGTCGACCGGAAGGCTCTCTGGAAATTTGCTCAGAAAAAGAACAACTGTCGGTCGACCGTACCGGTCGACCGAAATCTGATATATGCACTTTTCCAGGTTTTGGGGCTGGTTAAAAAATCCATAAAAAATATCAAATTAAATCCAAAAATAATGAAACTTTGGGGAAAGTTTCTAAATGATAAAATAGACATGTTTGAAAAGAAATTTTTGGAAAATCAATTTTCGTTTGTGATTTTTGAAAACTGCTTAGAAAACCTGTTTTTATATGAAAGTGAAAGTTGATATAGAACTTGTAAATATGTTTATATATGTTATGCATATATTATATATATACAATGAAATATTAAAGAGCTGTAAACATGAGAGAAAAGTTATTGTAACAACGTTTGATGAGAAATCATTTATATGATAGAAAAACTTCAAAAATTATGTTACGTGTACATATATTGAGCTTAGATATAATCAGACAATATATGTAAGCGTACTAAACATATACCTAGGTAAATCCACGCCAATGAACTTGAATCTTTAACACTAGATTGACGTGTGTTGAAATACCTGAAAAGAGAACATAAACACAAAACACTAGAAAACTTATTAGTAATAAATTGTTTGCTAAATCATCACAAAACACTAGAAAACTTATTAGTAATAAATTGTTTGCTAAATCATCATCAAAACTATAGGGTCAACATCAACGTGATATTTTAAAACATTATCAGGAGGAACAAGGAAAAATAATTTTTTATTTTTAAAGTTTAAACTGTAAATATTTTTTAACTTCTGATATTTGGACATCTAAAGCACAAACTGGTTATTTATGTATCACAACACATTGAATTGATAAAAATTGGCAAATGTATAAAGGAGTTATTTTCTTTATTGCATTTGAAGAGTCACATACGGGTATTAATATTACAAATTTAATAATTGAAGAACTTTTAAAATTAGAAATTTCAGAAAGAATATTTTCTCTTTCATTAGATAATGCAAGTAATAATAATGTAGCTGTTGATTTTATGAAAATATCTCTGTCATTGCCATGTAATGGTGATCTTTTTCATATTAGATGTATCTGTCATATTTTAAATTTAATTGTTCAAAGCGTATTTAGTGAAATTAAACCCATGATAGAAAAGGTTAGGTCAGTAACTTATGCTCATAATGCTTCTGAACAAAGAATTATAAGATGGAAATAATTCTGTAAAAGAAAAAAATATAAAACTCAGACCAATTCCAAAATATGTTGACTATAGGTGGAATTCCACCTATGCAATGTTAAGTGTAGCATTAGAATATAAAGAAGTTATAAATAATTTTATTACTTTTTATACTTCTAGCTCTAGCTCTGGTAGCATGTATGGAATAACTGAAAATGAATGGACAATTATAAGTAATTTAAAAGAGATGTTACAAGTTTTTTATGATGCTACAATGCTATTATCTGACTGCTATTATCAAACCATTACTTTAGCTGCTTTACAAATTTTAAATATTCAAAAAAATTCATAAATATCGTATGGATGATTATTTTGGAAATATAATTTTTCAAATGGAAAGTAAATTTAATAAAGCTTTAGGCCTATTCCTCTAATTTTTTTGTTTTGAGGTTCTTATTGATCAGTGTTTGAAGGATATTGGTCTTAGAAGTTTGTTAAATTCATTGTATGGTGGACAGATTATAAACCCGATGGGCAACATACTAGGTCAGAGCCTAAACCGGCCCAGTCCACCCCTACCCCTATCCCTCTGTGTGTGGGGAAAGGGGAACCAAGATCTCTGTCTATCTGAAAGCAGTGAGTCGAGGTGTGCGGTTGAGAGAGGTGGAGGTGCTTGTCATCCTGTCAATACGGAGAAAGTTGTAAACAGTCCAAAGGACTTTGAAGTTTGAGAACACGAGGATCGCTTATTATCAACTGCCTGCAAGTTGCATGTGATTTTCGAAGAAAGACTTGGGACTTGTTTATTTATTTATTTATTTATTTAAAGGACCACTTTATAGGATTTTTGCTTGATTTTGTGCAGTAAAAAATCATTATATTTTGAGCACAGAGGGCATATTCTTTCTTTTGATTCCGGGTCCTGTTCGTTTGGGTTTGCTTGTAGACGTGGAATCTTTCAATTTTAAAATATTTGTTTGAAATCATTTTCATACAAATCAACCTTCGGGAGGAGGATGAGATGGTGACAGGGATACAACTGTTTTATAATTCTTTATACATGTATCCATGCTTGATATGCTTTAAGCGTCTAATAGTAGTTATTTCTCTTGTAGTTAGTCTAAAAACAATACAAAACCTAGATAATGAGAAGAAATTCCTCTCCTCAAAAAGAATCATAAGTAAACATCATAATTACCTTTTGTTCCTTCTTAGTAATGGGAAAAATAGATCTCACAACGTAGCATTTTGCGCTTGAAGTAGAAAAGATTAAGAGAAGGACCCTGTTTTAAACACTTGGGACTATCAAAATACAAATTGTTGGAACTCTTCATAAGAACATAAACACCATATGAAAGAAGACAACTATATTCCATAATCCAAAAAGATCAAATAAATACAAGACATGGAGGGGCTTTGTCACGTGAAAATTCACAACGTTAACCATAGACCAACTTTTATATTTCAACGCTCAGTGATGATAACTATGTACATTGCAATATGAGAACTACCATTTGTTTGTTAACCTTCCCTTTCTTTGGCGTGGATGCCATATTAACAAGGTTAGCTTACTGAACCAAGTTTTAGGTAAGTCATGGACCATGGTCATGCTATCACTGTACAAAATAAGTCGAAGTAAGCTCCTTTCTGCTTATAAAAGGGCGAGAAGGTATCCAGAGAACAGATACGATGAGCTTCTGCGCTTTAATCACTCCCAACCCATTAGCATCTTCGTCACTCCTTCGACAATCTTATTCCGAGCAGTAGACAATTCGCAATCATCATCGAGAAGGACTCTGTATACTTCCCATTCTGTATCACCGATCACATGCCTTCCAATCTCAGCCTGAAAGTTACAAACGCTCGCTTTAGTTCATAGATTTCCATTATTTTGTATGTAATGCCTTTATGGAAATTAGTATATGGAACTTAAAAGAAATTTGAAGTAATTGTTGGTTCACAAAACTATTTCATTTGGGATAACATTTGGCTGTAGGAAAGGTATGATACTTTGCCAAAATTTTGAAAAGTTTCAGACTATTAACTTCAGAAGATGTGTCGTTGACTAATAATATGCAATCCATAAGGCTCCGTTTGGCAAAGGGTTAATGAAGAGGGATTAAGGAGAAGGATTAACATAGTTAGCACATTCGATAATCCGAAGGACTAAATTATTAACCCGTTATATAAGTTTTATTTTAGTCATTGTGATCAGTTTTAGTGTTTGGGAATAACAATGATTTTGACTATTTTCTTTATAATTAGAAGAGTTAACTCTTAATCCTTCTAAATAGGAGTATTAGTAAACCCCTCATTTTGAGGGGTTACCTCATTTTAATCCCTCTAAAGGGGTTAGCTTAACCCTTCTATATTTTTTATGTTTGGCAAATTATGGAGGGTTAACTCACTTTAACCCTTGTATAGATTTTTTATGTTTGGCGGGTTAAGAAGAGGTTAAGTCTCCTTAACCCCTCACTTAACCCTTTGCCAAACGGTACCTAAGTGAAAAAAAGGAAATAGGCTACAGAAAAAGAATATCCTTGAGATTGAAACTTGTTCATCAATATAAGTTGCCAACTAAATATTAATGAACAAGCATCAATTTTTACAGGCTCCAGACTCTATTCAGATTACCCCGAGCTATTTTTGGCCCCACCTCGCCCCCCTGTTAAATCTTTCTGCTTACCCATGAACTATTTTCAGCCCAACCTTATCCTCTGAATAACCCCTATGCTCTCATAAATTCATTTAAGATACCTACGAAGTAATAAATGGCAGGAGACAACAAGGTACTGAAATGACAATTTTAATACTTTCTATGGTCTGAAGCCATATTTCCAGTAAGGAATTCATGATTTGAATAAGTTATAGCTAAACTACTCAATGTTAAGGAATTCATAGTCCTTAAGAAAATTTAAATTCCTAAATGCGTGATAATTTCCAGTGCTTTGGAGAAAATTGTGCAGTCTTACCAGAAAGACGCGCGTGTGAAGCATTTTTAGGGCAAGGGTGATATCATAAAAAACAAGAGGCCTGCCTTTGCCAGATAACTCAACAGGATTTGCAACCAAAAGCTCAGTATCTGGTCCTCTATTCACAACGGTAACACGTAGTGGACTGAACAACTCCATTCTCAAACGATCACACAATTCCTTCTGTTTACTTGGGTCGACAATCTTCTTTCCATCCGTTTGAACTATAAACAAGTCAATCTCACAATTCCCTTTATAGGATGCATAGAATCGCCCATAAGAGATCTAAGTAGAGTACAAAATCACCACAAAAAAAAAGACATGGTTAAGAAACCAATTACCACAACAATGAGAGGGGTCTCTATAGAAGGAGAGGGTGACAAGTGGCATTTGAAAGTAGACACCATCAGTGCAGTCACTATCGTCCATCAGTGCAAATGTTATTGATATGTATATCAAGATTCGTGATATGTCAGGTGTCACCCTCTCCTTTCTCCCTATTATCATATTCTATAGAGGGTCCTGTACATGATTTTTCTCCCCAAACAATTTATGAATATATCATCACAATTTTACTATGTTTACCTGGATTTTGTAATCTTTGAGAGTTCTCATTATGTCATAGAGGAGGCCCTTGTGATCTCGACAAAGGACTTGAACGAGAGTGTGAGAGGGACTTAGAGAATTATCTACTGTGACTGAAGGAGTTGTTGATGAGGGATGATGTGCTCCTGTGGGTGATTCTATGGAAAGATCTAAATTGAACATCTCTTCGGTTGTTTCTGGGGGAAGAAGAGGTGAAGCCTGAAGACATGAAGCTATTTCTTCACTTGCTAGTTCGATATCACAACTTGTCATGGAGTCACCAAGAACAGATCTCAATTGTTCGCATGTTTCGTCTTTCCTCTTCTTTGTATGTAGTAGTTCCCTAGTAGCATGGAAATATAAGCTTTTAAAACATAAGAATGATGAAATGGGTAGAGTTTGCAAGGGAAGAACTTATTGTGTTCATTAGCAAGCAAAATAAACTTATATTTTATCAAATATGTAAAGTATTCGAGCATTCGTCTAGGTAATAAAACACAAGAGACCACCCTACTCCTACAGAAGGTGGCAAATGAATTTCATTGCAACTTATGACAGTTTCAAGACAAGGAATCTCCAAAAGAAGCTTTAATCAGCAAAATGCATCACCTAAGGAGACAATATATGGAGAAGTTATTATGGTTAAATAAAAAAATCATAATCAAAATCTCTTCTTTTTTATACGTTTAAAATATTATACATGTAGAATATCCTAAGCCACAATTAGGAATATATGTATGAAACTGCCTGGTTGTGTTAAAAATGGACAAATTTTCAAAACCAAATTCTTTCCACATTTAATCCCAAAAAAAGACCCCTTTCAACAATATTTTCAAAAACCGACCTGGTTTCAGCCTTGGCGCTGAAACCAGGTCGGTTTTTGAAAAAAAAAAACTTCTGAAGCTTCACGGGAGTTGAACTCCCGTGAAGTTTAGCAAAGCTGCTAAATTTTACGGGGGTTCAACTCCCGTGAAGTTTCATAGTTCAAATTTTTTTTTACTATGAAACTTCACGGGAGTTGAACTCCCGTGAAGTTTAGCAGCTTTGCTAAACTTCACGGGAGTTCAACTCCCGTGAAGTTTTAGACTCCTTTACACAAAAACCGACCTGGTCTCAGCGTCAAGGCTGAAACCAGGTTGGTTTTTGCAAATAACTTCAAAATGGGTTTTTTTTAAGGATTAAATGTGGAAAGAGGTTGGTTTTGAAAATTTGTCCCGTTAAAAATAGGCATCAGGTACTTATATACGTAGCACATCTCATCATAGGGCCCAATGTAACGCAATATAATTCTGACTTAAGCATAGAGACAATGAAATCTTCAATTAAGATTTGAAGGTATACAGTGTTACTTTAACAAGGACAGGAATAGAATTGTAGAAGATAATGCGTGATATTAATCGGCTACATGCAAAGTAGCTCGGGCTATTATAGTTTAGCTCCTTATGTAAATGTAGCTAAAAGAAACAAAAGTCTGAAACCAAAACATACCACCCTTCCCTCTAGTCTAAGCATCAAAGAAAAATGACTATTAAATAAGTAACACATGGAAGGTGAATGCTGCACATCAAAGTTGACTACAGAGTTTCGGAGGCACTTGACCAATTGACTATCTGTTCTCATGTCCAACAAGATTTTTGACAGAGCTTTGTAGGCACATAACCATACTTGTACTTATCCTTTTTATTCTAATGAATTCCTTGTTTAATTTTATTTTCGATATTTTCGAATTAGCCAACATTTTGCGAGGTCATAAAATGAAACGCACCGTAAGTCATAAATTGTGACTGGAGTTTTCTGTGGGTATATGAAAGTTGTGCAAAATGTTATGATACAAAGAGGACAAGAATAAGCAAGGGAGAAAAGAGGAGGATAAAAGTTGAACCTGGTGTCGGTGATGAAGAAGAGGTCCATAACTCTCCCATCTGGTGTAGTTGATACCTTCACTCTTCTGATTGTGAGCTCCAGCTCACATAATACTTGCGTCACATCTGCCATCACAAACAAATATCCCAAAAAAACTTCAAATACCTAAAAAAACTGACTTTTCCCATAAATAAAATATCAAGATGATCCTGTCTACTAGACAACTACTAGTCCAAAGGATGTCCAGCTTTGGTTCTGTACAAAACATAAGTATACTGGTTGTAGTAGACGAAGTTCGCTCTTTTTTTTTTTTTGGTCTTTTCAAACAAAGAAAAACAATAGTCCCCAATTTGTTCTTTCCCCCCTTTCAAACCATTAAAACTAAAAAAAAATCTAAAAGTTGAATCCTAGGAAATGAATCGACTACATGCATTCTCAAAAGAATAAATCAGAGTAAACCCAGCTAATATACAGGACGTATTGGATATCTTTCTAGCCCCCAAGTTTTCTTTATTTATTTTTATAAGAAAGAACACCATACAAACAAAAACAAAACCCAGAACTTCAATCCTAAGGCCGGACAAAATCAGAACAAACCCATGTTACTTTAAATTTTTTTTAAAAAAAAAGCTCAAACCCATAAAAAAAATTAACTTGATTAATAACAATCATATCAAACAAACACAAAAACAACAGAATAATTAGCAAAAAAAAAAAAAAATCCAAAACTAAAACTAAACAAGAAAATAGTTTACCATGCAAGAGTCCCATCCTGTCATAACAACAAAACTTGAGCAAGAAAACCTTAGGCTGCTGCTCCCTCAACAGCATCTCCTCTTGCTGCTGCCTATAATAGTAATTGTACAGTCCCGACGCCGACGTGGCAGCCGGGCAAGCTCCAAGAAGCCTCTTCTTCAGTAAGCTCCACCTTATTGCCTTCCCTCCTCTGCTCGCAACCCAAAACACCAAGTAGCACCATTTCCCGTCCGTGCTCACATCTTCCTCTTGCAAAAAAAAGACCCCATTTAGTCCTCATGTTGCAATAACGTGAAAGTAGTAAGGAGCTTTCTGATAAATTGTAACACTAAGACTTGGGAGGGTGTTTTATTGGTTACTCGGGATTTCCTAAAATAGCAATTGTGGCCTCCAGCGCTAAATTGGTCGTCTAGCCGAAGACGAGCACGCCATGTGGTTCATGTTTTGTTGTCGAAAGGTTTAAGGGTGCTTATGCGACAATCAAAACAATTTGAGGGGCTTATGTCTAAATTGATCATTACAACCCGTAAAAAGAGAGGAGGGTCGTTGGGAAATCCGCCCAGCCGGAGAATAGTTGCAGAAATGCTCTCCTCGCTAGCACGCACCATTATGTCCTCATGATGCAATATTTTTAAATATATATATAAGAAATCTGAGGGCCTAATTTAAACGGTTTACGACTGGAGGGCCTTACGGAAAATCTGGCTGCCTCTTATTATCCAGAGAATCCTCCCCAAAAAGGAGGGGGGAGAAAATGCATCCATTTCTGCGAAACCCGTCCCGTCTGGACTAATAAAGCAGGGGTATTTAGGAAAACAAAAGGACAGGAAATGCAAAGTATTGTTTAGGGAGGGGGTAAAGTGGGGAAAAAAAAACCCGCACCTCCGCGGACGACGCTGAGGCCAAAGAAGAGTATAATACGGCAGAGGTCGCAGCCGAGGCCGGTTTTATCGGGACAGTTGACGGTGACCACCGTAGGATCACCGGGGGTCTCCGGAGCCCTGATAAGCACAAAATCATCACAGGGTATGCCCATGATTTCCTACTTTCTCTCTCTAGAGAAGAGGAATCCCCGAGAGATGGGAAGGGAGAGTATCTGCGTACGAGAGAGAGTGGGGGGAGAGATCTCGAGGTTTTGGTTTTTTGTGGGGGGGGCTTCAATCCTTTTGAGGAGTCTTATTGGATAACTATTTGGTGGGTGGGGGGCTCTTTCGCTAAAACAGCATTAATAATTTTTGGTTTATTTTTATTGGGTTTTTTAAGGTAATAGTCCCTCGTATCATCTGTATTTGTATCAAGCGCCTACTAAATCGTGTTTTTTTATCTCCCAAAATGTGATTATTTAAAAAATTTCAGAAAATAAATTTAATTAACTTAATATAGTGAGAACAACTACTTTTTATATCGATGGAGGCGATTTGGGTCGCTTGAGAATAAAAGAAAAGAGGAGAGAAAGAGATGTCGATATTCTAACGATGCTAAGATTAACTATTCTAAAATCTTTAATGAAATTGATTGAGGATAATTTATTTGTTTCTAAAAAAGTTAATTAGTTTAACATGTACTCCTAGTTCTATTGTCTTAAAAAGTCAAAATGGGTGGTGAAGTTGAGGGATCGATGACTATAATTTTGGAGGTAGGTAGGAATTATTATGATTTGAATAATGTAAATATCCCTAACTTATAGGGTTTATTTGCAAATATTTATAAGGGGTAGTCTTTATTAATAGGGTGTTTCTAGGGGCGTCCAGGGTCACCCGTTAATATGAATAAAATATATTATTTTTAGTCTATTTCTAAAGAGTAGTAATTAATTGCTAATATGATTATTTTTAGTCTATTTCTAAAGAGTAGTAATTAATTGCTAATATGATTGCTTAAATACCATAAATGCCATTATTCTGTATTCATTCTCAATGTTCCCAATACGGTTAAACTTTCAATTAGAAATTATATTTTGTGAACTTAAACAAAACAAAATATAAATTACATTATTAACATTTCATTTTGTCAAACATCACTGACCCCCAACCTTTATTATTTGAATATAATTGTAGGGTGTCTCATTGGCATTTAAGATACCCTACAATTATATTTCTCATTTTTTTTCTTTTTCCCCCCTTGAAAATCTCTGCCTGATGTATATATTGTCCAAGAGGTAAGCCACACTTTCTTTCTTTTCTACATGATTTTTTTTTGTTCTTACTTCAATTAGGTTTTTTATAATAAAGACAAGCTTTGTGATTTATGGCTTAAAATGCTTTGAAAAGAACAATTTTTCACTTTAGCCCTTTTTGAATTTTTTATTATTAAAATCGACCCTTTTTTCTTTTATTTACCAAAACCGACCCGATTTCTTGATTAGCGGCTTAATCACATTCCTAATTAGTCGGGGTTGCCAACCCCGACTATTTAGGAGTGTCTTAAACCCTAATTAGAAGCCTTAAACCCTAAAAATTAATATCCTAAATAGTCGGGGTTGGCAACCCCGACTAATTAGGAATGTGATTAAGCCGCTAATCAAGAAATCGGGTCGGTTTTGGTAAATAAAAGAGATCCGCGGCTGCGACGTAACGATCTCGGCAGCGAGATCGTTGGCTCCCACTGTGGTCGCCAGATTGTTCGCGGGAAAAATTGTTGCTTTCTTCATTAATGATTCCATTGTACACTCTTGTAATAGTCTATCGATTACAAAGATCTGGTCTTTTTATAAGATCCGGTTACAACGTAAATAAAATTGAAAAGAAATGAAAATTACAACTTTGTTTCCTTGTTTGTCGAACGAATCGCGAGCTCCTGTTTTGCGGTCGCTCGCTTTGTGGGTTCTTTGCCTGCGCCGGGGTTGTTTGCCGTGGACCACCGCGCGATCTAGATCCGGTCGGATCTACGCAGTACAACGGGTATTATTTCACCAAGGAAATAATAGCCGGGGAGGATTGTTTCACCAAGGAAACAATCGTCCAAGTCTCGGGATCTAAGACCAAGCTTAGATCCGGAGTGTAGCAACGTAGATCTGAGATCCGATCCTCACGAACACCTGTCTTATTTGACGTTGATGATCGCCGAGCACCCGATCTGGATGAGCAAGTCCTTGATGTCCCAAAGTTGAGATCTTTTTTAGATCCGAGTCTCCAATCCTGCAGGGCTTCGCCTCCTCCAAAATCCAACCTTCTCAAATGAACAAGGGGGTGACCTTTGGTAAATAAAAGAAAAAAGGGTCGATTTTAATAATAAAAAATTTAAATAGGGCTAAAGTGAAAAATTATTCCTTTGAAAATTATCACTTGAAAGCTAATTTTGATTATGTTCGTCAGATGCAATTGTCAACTTTGAAAATTATGGTATTATGTCATTTAAATGGTGGTAATGAAATACAAAATGGTGGCATTTATGGCATTTAAACATCATATTAGCAATTAGTGCCTAATATTTGAGAATAGGACAACTATGGTACATATCTTTTTTAATTAAAATATTGTAATAAGAATGTAGTAGATTTTTTACATTAAAATCTAGCACCAAAGTGAAAATTGTTATTGAAATCTGGTTAACTAAGGGCCTATTTGTCTGCACGTAAGTAATTATGAAGTAGCTGAAATAGAGAAAATAGATACTATTTTTGCTACTTCTGAACAAAAAACATGTTTATTTCTCAAAAAACTTACTTCTAATACTTTTTTAAACGCTGATGTGACGTCTACATGTCATCCACACTTTCTAAATATTTTTTCCTCCCCTCAAGGCTAGGAAGTAACCTAGAAGTAAGTGAAACATGTATTAATTAGGAATCCAGACACATTTGTCTCCTTCCAGCGGCATCGGCGTCCAACCTTCAGGCAGCGGCGTCCAGCGGAATCCAGGCATCCAGCAGCGAGATCGGCGAGATCCGGCACCCAGCGGCGAGATCCGGCAGGCAGTAAATAACATTGTATTACATTTGTTATCTGATAAATTAGAATAAATTAATCATTCCGATTGCGACAATTAATCATTTCGATTGCTACTAGTTAGGAAAGCTTCATTGTCGCAAGTGACCAAAAGGGCATCCTGTATTACAATATAACATAACAATTAGCATGCCCTCCCCCCAAGATTCAGTGGTTCTCCCCTCAGTCCTGTCCCTCTCTCGCCCCCCTCCTTTGGCGCCGCAGAAGGTGTTTGTCCGCTGCCCTCTCAAGGGACTTGACGGATGTACGGCAGGGGGTTCTGAGGGTAGAGGGCTCACCCCTGTGTATTTGGTTATTCACTTACGCAAACAACATCTCAATTCGGAGTCTAAGGTCGAGGAATGCAAGGGGCTGTTACGCCGTGACATTACCATTTTCAACTCATTTGAGGCCACACTACGAGCTATGGGGCAATGGATGTGTGGTACGTGCTTGAGGATTCATGCTCTAAGTAAACATTGTAAGCATGACAGGGGAGTGTCTGTCCCACCGCCTTCAGAGGATGGCGAGGGAAATGTGGGGTGCACCATTGTGGATATCCCTCGGCCTAGTGCCCCTCCTATCCTCGAGTCTGTATCACATATCCCTTCTTTGGGTCCACAACATTGCAAGCTCGACAGCGGTACAGTTGAAAGAGGGTTTAACTGGTTCGAACGGTTAAAAGTGTTCCCCCATCTTGTAGGTTGGCGTTCTCGGCTGCCCTCAAAGCCTCGCTCTCCGGGGTGTCTTCCAACCCACAATCTTGTGACGCTTGGGTACGGCTTTTGATCTTGCCATGTTGCACTTTAAGGGTTATTAAAACCCATGATCGCAAGAGTTCGAGGTCAGGAAACAGAAAGGCTCTTCAGCAACGGCATATCTTGGATGCATTGTCCATCTGGGGTGAGGTTGGAGGCCCCCATAAACTCCTTGACACCATGTTTAGAGAGCTCCCTTCTCCCCTCTCTGTCCGGAAAGACGACCCAGGTGCTTGCCCAACGGCTATCAATGTCAAACAGTGTTTGAGGAAGATATCAGACGGGCACTATTCAGCGGCCGTGAAGGTCCTCACGTCCTCGGGAGTTGCACCTGACACTCCGCAGACACGTCAGTCCCTTGAGGACAAGCACCCTTCGGCGCCTTCACCGGTGTTGCCTGCTTTGGGGTATGACCAAGAGCCGCTCTCTGTGGATTGCGGGGAGGTTCTCCATTGCTTGCGATCCTTCCCTAAGGGAACCTCTTGCGGCCGTGATGGCCTTCGAGCCCAACATTTGTTAGATGCTCTATGTGGTCCGGAGTCCACTATGCTAAAGACCTTCTCGCGTCTCTCACTCCAGTGGTTAATTTGTGGTTGCAAGGGCGTTGTCCGGCATCATTGGCGGAGTTTATTGCTAGTGCTCCTCTCACTCCGTTGTTGAAGGGTGATGGGGGCATAAGGCCGATTGCGGTAGGTGCCATTTGGAGGCGCCTCGTCTCTAAAGTGGCCATGAAGAAGGTGGGGAAGGACATGGCGAGTTATTTGGGCGATTTTCAGTTTGGGGTAGGAGTCTCAGGAGGGGCGGAAGCAGTTTTGCATGCGGTTAATAAGTACGTTGGTGTCCATCATGCGGATGACTCGCTCTCCATGCTTTTGGTCGACTTCCGCAATGCATTCAATTTGGTGGACAAGAGTAGCATGTTACGGGAAGTGCACCTTAAGTGTTCAGCGATCTCTCCTTAGGTGGAATTTCTTTATGTG